CATTAAATTCGTCTGCTGGCATTGATCGTGGAATCACTGGCAATGTTTGTCAAAATCACCTTACTATAGAATTATCGCACTATCAAACCGTTTATGGTTCTTTCGTAAATCTTGCATTGTGCAATCTAATGAATTCAAAGATTTTTTGTGTGCTATCGCACATTCGTCACAAACGATCAATTTGCTTTGCTGCAACACTTTGGCCATCGCTGAATTTCTTGAAAGGTTGCAAGTTAATAACTAATAATAATCATAACCAATAGCAACCTTAAAATAAATAAAACTATAATTATTTAGTTTATTTTCTTGCTACAGATTGCGCAACTGTTCTATTTTTTCCATTCAGATTTCCTGCTTTTTCGGTTGATTTTCCTAAAATTTTCTCTATTAAAAGCTTGTTCTGACAATTACGAATATAACAGAAAAAAAATCAGCTGAAATAACTTACACTTTAAAAAAAATTGTGGTCTTTCAACTGCGTCGGATCGTGAACAATGTGCGACAGCATATCAAATAGGCAATGTGCGAAAATTTGATTTGATGCACGCTAGCATCTGATTCGTCCGATTAACCAGTGGCAGCCAAATAATAAATACTAGTTTCTCCTATTTATTTCTCCTATAGCCAATAGCAACCGTAAATAAACAAAAAAATCCACCATAAATCTTAAAATACCCGTTTGAGCAACTCCTTAGGTTGGTGGTAGGAGGGTTAAAAATACTTAATTACCTATTCTCATACCTACCAAATATACGGAAAAAATTTCATTGAAATCGGTCTAGTCGTTTCAGATTAATACAATATTTTAACATTATTATTTTCGTTACGCGGTCGTCCGAGTTAAAACCATGATTTTGCACCTTATCTGTCAGAATAACCAATGGCTACCAATAATAAATAAATACTACTTTCTACTTATTATTTCTACTATATAACCAATATCAACCATTTATAAACAAAACTATCCACCGTTTGAGCACCTCTCCGGATGGGTGGTAAGAGGGTAAAAAATACTTAATAACCTATTCTCAGAATTACTGAATATACACACAAAATTTCATAAGAATCGGTCAAGCCGTTAAGGAGAAGTAAGACCACTAACATTGTGACACGAGAATTGTATACATTAGATATAGATAAGTACCTATATAAACCTATTACTTTTAGAACATTATACAATTACTGACAGATAGTACCTATGTATATAAGTATATAACATTCGTGACTGTTGGATCTATTACGTCACCCCCATTCCCCACTATAAATTCACCCCTGCCACTAAGTGTAAATTATAGACTTTCCTCAAAAAAGCATTCTGTTAAGTACCATCCTCTAATTGTCTTTTATAGCATCCAACCTGAACTGGGGTAGTTAAGAAAGAATGAGATATCCTAGATTTAAGTTATAACAGGAAAATACACTTACTGCCGGCTTTACCAAAAAATATAATTTTACAACAACAATGGCATCAAAAATTAAACTTTCTGTGCAGGCATGTTAAATCAATACTTAATTTAGATTTGATGTATGTTAAAATATATGAGTGTCTAATTAACAAGTAACAAATATTATAATTCACAGTAGTTAAAGTAGGTATAAGTGTATAACTATTTATGATTTTTCCTAGACAACATTGAATCAATTCTAGAAGTTAGCAGCAATTTGCATTTACTATATGGTTATGAAGACATACAGCAGTGGTCTAATGCAGTTCAACCTGACAAAGCAGTAATTGAAGCAGAAAGAGCGAAAAATTTTTTTGACTTTTTGAAAGTAGCCGGGTTGATTCTTAAAGGAATAAATTACGATTATGATTTTGTAAGTATTGTAACTTTAGAAAGATCGATTTACTCAATAGTTATTTAATGTCAAAGGAAAACCACCAACAAATTACGCTAAAAATGGGATTTGAATTTCTAACTCTTTGCTTATCACCATAGAAATGAATAAAAAATAATAATAAGAAGTACCTATTATAATATAAATTCAACTTACAGGATAATAAATAATAACAATATCCAGACTGACAAACCGTCTTCGCTCAGAATCGTTTTTCTTATACAATGATATTATATCATTGAATTCAAGTTTAATGTAATCCTTGTTAACGCATAAAGTGCCTACAGCAATAACAGATAGTCTTTGTCGTCTTCGTCTTCCCTTAAAATAAACAATAATAATTTTTTGTGTATAGTGGACTGTATAAATTTATTCGCAGAAACAATAATAATAATAATGCACTTGCCTGGTTGGCAATACACAACAATAAAATAATGATTATAAATGCCTCAGGTGGCTTCAAATATAAAACAACCAATAAATATAAATATTATCCCTCATTCAGCTTCAAATATAACAATAATGATATAAGTATATACATTTATAATATATACCTCACGCGGTCTCAATATAATAATAATATACGAATATATAAATTTAATTGCATGAGCTACAGCTCACACAATTACAACAAAACAACTTAAGTGGCCACACATAACGATACATAACAACAATACAGCAAACAGTTGCAATGCAGCCAAACGAGACCCTCGGCCAAACCACAAAATGCTGGACCAATAGACACAAGGTGGGAAATTGTCCTATTGCTGGTAAATGACAACCCTATACTATAAAGAAACCAATAATTACAAGACAATAGAACAATAAGCCAGAGTTGACCGCAGCAGCACAGCAAAATATAATACGCTTGACACGAGGTTAAAACAGGAACAAAAAAGAAGGCTACATGACCCCCGTCTGTATGACGGGCGTAAACACAATAAGAAAACAGAAAAAAAAATATAATCTTAAATAATAACTGAATGACTAGTTGATTGTCTTCTTTGGAGATGGCCAAATCGCCTATGTCGAGTCCACGAAGAGACCAAATCCGTGTATGGGTGCTTGCAAGCAACGCTTGTGGGCCTGCGTGCAACAGATGTTTATGCTCATGTTCGAAGATCATTCTGGTTATTTTGTGACGAGGGGGGAGTACTATAGGAAATTTTCGCTGATCACACAAGTTTGACAGAGATAACCTTCCACAAACTAGGACAAGACCACCTTGATCGATGAAAGGGTTAAGTGACTTTGGACGACTTTTCGATGAAACTGGTTTCTTTTTTCTTAATGCTGTTAATTCTTCTTTGAACTCGATAGACTTCACATACTGAAACCAAACTGTTAGAGGTTTAGCAAGTTCTGTCAACGTCAGAGGACCATACATTTTAGGTAACCGTGTACTCTTGGTCGCCTTGGCGTTGTGACTGAATCGTAGTTGCCAGCCAATTGTTCTAATCAATGAATTCCATTCTGAATATCTATCTAACGAGGTGTTTGATGCACAGACAGCAGCTAATGTAAGCTTGATGCACCTCACTTCTGGGATGTCTTCATCATCTGCTGTCACTCTCGAAGGCCAATCAACTCTGGGACGTAGCAACTATTGAGGACCCGTCCACCATAACATGTTGGTTTTGATTGCCATCACTGATGTCCCTCTGGAGATTTTTTCTGCTGGGTTCTGGTTGATTGAAACTTGTTTCCACTTTCCACTGAGATTGAACAGAATAGTAGAGAATTCGAGCGACTCTGTTCACAACATAAGATCTTAACGGTTGACTTGTTTTAATCTAAGCTAGGACTATAGTATAATCTGTCCACAACATTAAATTTGATTGATTTACTTGAATGTGCATTCGTTTTAGTTCATCAACTACGTCCACCATTATTTTCATCAGCAATACATCGCCACACAACTCTAGTCTCAGAATTGCTGTTTGCTTGGTTGGTGTCACTCGTTACTTAGACGTATACAACACAGTAACTTGTCCGTGACCATCTGTGGTTTTTACATATACACACTATACAGGCACCGTATGCTTCTTGAGATGCACCACTAAACCCATGCAGTTCTATGCGCTCATGTGAATACATCACTCTGCTTGGAATCCTTAATGCTTCCAGCGCACTTAGCTAACCATAAAAGTTCATCCACTTGTTCTGCAGTTCTTTCGGTAAACGTGTGTCCCAACCCAGTTTTAACAGCCACAACTGTTGCACGAATAATTTTCCCTTGACCAATACCAGAGAAATGAAACCCAACGGATCATAAACTTTATTTACATCTGCGAGTAGTTTCGACATATGTATAGGAGGCTTCCAGTCTCTTACTATGAATTGGAAACAGTCTGCATGAGAATTCCAGGTGACACCTAGAGTGCTAATAGTGTCATTCTCATGCAACTTGAGTAGATAATTTGGGTTTTGTTCTGATATTGATAACTGATTGGACAATACACTTGAATTTGTACACCATTTAACGATACTGCTGCATCAACAAGAAATAACCCAAGCCGCCTTGCACATTGATTTGTAACAAAGTTGACTTGTGAGCCAGAGTCTAACACTACTCTACACTGTACTATATTTCCATAGTCATCACACACCTCCACTACCACTTTAGCTAACATCACCATAGTATGCAATTGTATAAACAAACTAGTGTTTGTAATTCCAACAAATGAAGACTGAGGACTTTTTGGTTGGTATACTTCACAAGAAATTGACGGCTTACTGGTAGTGTTATTTTGGAACTCTTGATGTAACAAAACGTTATGTTTCTTTCCACATTTGGTACATGAGGATTACCTACTTGGCGGACTTGATGGTTGCGTCTAAAACAATTATAGCAAAGTTTGAACTTAAATACTGCAGCCTTAAGATCTTCAATTGTCATAGATAGGAACTCATCACAATGATTAATTTGATGACCTTCATCACAAATAAAACATTTTACATAATCATTAGACTTGGTGAACCTTTTTTCAGTAATCTTATTTGGAACTGTACCAACTTGTCTCAGTTTACTGTTCTTTTTTACTGGCAAGATCTGTTGGTTTGATGCTTTTACTGTCTCAAACGCTGCTACTCTCATAGCTAGATAATTCTCAATGTCTGAGTACCTAGGCAATTTCTTTGAAGATCGACGTAGCTGCCACTCACCTACTGTGACATTGTCTAACCTGCTGCATACTAGAGTGACTAATCATGCGTGATGAGTCCCAATGTTCAGTTGGTTGTCCAAGAGCTTTTAATGACCTCACATGAAACGTCACATGATGATATAATTGACGGAGATTAAGTGCTGAAGCTTTCTCAACTTTTGGAGTGTCAAATAAATACCTTATGTGCGATTGTACAATTAATGTATTGTTTTCATATCTGGATACCACCGCTTCATACGCTTGCATATAATTTTCCGCTGTTGTCGGGATGGTTTTAACAACGTCTGCTGCAGATTCAACAAGACAACTATTTAAATATTGGAACTTTTGAACTGTGCGAACCTTTTCATTTTCATGAAACATGGCATTAAACGTATCGATGAAGGATGGCCAGTCTTAAAGTGAACCATTGAATGTTGGAATTAGAAAGGGCGAGAGTTTTACAAATCCACCACCTCTTGACATTGACGACAATGCAGTACTATTTCTACCATTATTCATATCACCCTTTTCATCCTCGTCTATAGTATAAAGTATCAATGCGCGCACCTTATTACATTCGTCTAGAAATGATAACCGTTCATTATCTTGGACATCAGGTCGATCATCGATCAATTCAATTTTTGTTTGACCTTCATCAAGACGCAGTTTTATTTGACGACAGGATTTTGACTTGGTATCGAATTTATTGACAAAATTGACGGAAGATGCCTATAGGTACTTCCTTTCTTTACTAAGGCTTTGAAATCAGCAGAGGAAATTTTACTCTTAAATACCACTTTAGTAAACAAAATATTTAAACCTATATATTTGATGTAATATAGTACAAAAACAGAAAATTACACGTCTTACGAGGGGGGTGATCACGTATCTCCCTCAGGGACGCACCTGAACCGTAGTTGCAAAAATGGACCACTATCAATAAGCATAATCACCACATCTGACTAACGATAACACCAAGTGCTGCCAACGCTAGCATACGATGACGGGAGCTTAACAATTAATGGCCCAACTAAACACTGTAAACTAACAATTATATACACAACAATCCTTTATACATTGATCCACTTATAACATACTGTACAGCAGAGCGACATCCACTTACCCACTTTTTTCATCATATTGCTAATGAGCCGAAAAAATAGGTATGACTTAATAAGAGTTAAATCGTTCAAAAATTGGTAGATATAACTTTTAGTATTTATAATAATATAATATTAATATTTTCCCACCCGGCGTTGCCCGTGTCAAGGATTTGTTGCCCGTTAAAAATGTCAACTCTGACTTGCTCAGTCCCCTAACTAAGATTTAGCTCCTCCCCCCCCCCAAAAAAAATATTCCTTATTGATTTAGATTTGAGCCACCTATGGGTCATTTTAAATTTATAATTTTGTTAGGTAGGCCATAGCTCCACCCCTAGAATTGTGACCATAGTTGCGCCTATGCAACTCTATATGATTTAAACTTTGTTAAATTCGTAATTTAATATTTGGTATTTCGGTGAAATGGTGTTTAAAACTCAAGCTATCTTTTTTAGGCTCTACGGTGATCAGTTAGTAAGTCAGGCTGGACACTTCCGATTACATTGTATTATATCCATCTCAGCCTTGCCACCCAGCGTTTCCGGTGGGACACGCATGTGATTATGCGAGCAATATATTTTCATCCAGCGAAGTGAATGTTTTATTAACACATGATTGCGACGGTGTTGATTAAGTGCCCATACCTATGTAGGTTCCTGGGAACACGATCGAAAAATGAACATTAAGAATACTATTTTTACCAAGTTATAATATGGTTTTAATGAATATAAAATACTGATCTAAAAATATGATTTTCAATCATAATGACTATTTTATATTTGGTAATCAATAGTAACCTTATAATAAGCAAAAATATAATATTATTTAGTATAGATTTTGCTGGACCGATGGTGCCATTGTCGTATTTTTTTTTCCAAACAGATTTCCGACATTTCCGGTGAATTTTCCTAAAATTTTGATTCTTATTATAAACCTTGTCCTGGCAATTACGAACACAACCAAAAAAGAATCAGCCAAATCGGCCAAGCCGATTCGGAGCTTATACCAAACAAAAAAAAAGCGACTTAATATTATAATATTTATTGATATATTCAATTGATATTTTGAAGCACTCCCTAACACTAGATGAGATGGCAGTATTACAGTATCTTAGATATAATGTATTTTGTACCTTTTGACAATTATAACTCTATCGTTATTAAAAGGTAAAGTTCGCACCTCAAGAACAGGACTGTCACAAACTCACAACTCAAAATGTATAGCTATGAGAAAAAGTTTTATTTTAAAACTAAAATATTTTAAATAGTTATCTCTTTGCCGATGAATTTAAAACTAAAAATTTAAGTATTTATAAACACGCACTTAACTATTTACATTATTACTTCATTAAATATTATTAAATAGCTACTCTCTTAAACCCAAAAAGTAAGACTATTATGGCATGTAACAACTGTTATTGTGAATGAAAAACTGCCATATTTTGAGACTTGAAGGTAAAAAATTTCTATTTGAATATACAAGACTGACATTTTTCATAATACGGCTGCAATATAACAAATTTTAAAATACCAAAACATTGCTGTTTTCCACTTAACGTATCTCACGAAAATGTGTTTTTATTTAGCGCAAGAACGACACAACTCGAGATAGGACAGTCTTGAATTTTGGATTAATTGGATAAATTAAATAACATATACTGCCATATAAATTAAATAAAGCTCTATTCACTATTGTTTAAAAAGTATAATTTAATAATTTAATAATTTAATACTGACACATCTTTTTGGTGGCCAAATTAAAAATGATACTTATTAAAGATTATTGATTAAATTAATGAATTTTGAGTTCTAGCAGTCTTCTTCAAAAGGTGCGAAATGTATAAGCATTCATTATTTAGTATTCAGTGTAGGTCAATAGCTAAATGTAGGTCATACATTATTGTACCATTTCCTAAAAAAAGTATTGGGATTTCGTCCTTCACCCGTTAAATGTTAATACTTAAAACAATAAAACATATAATTTATACACTTAATTTTAAACACTCGAATTATATGCTGTGTATATATTGGCATTAAATATAAATAGTTTTACATATAATGATAAATTTAAATTTTCTCTTATATAGTTAGATATTTCATTAATATTTATTTAACTGTAGCCTCAAGATTTTAGTGTTCCTGGCGACTTCAATGAAAAATTAAAAGGTTATATACAGGTTATGAAAAGTCAATTGCCTTATATAAAAATTGGATTGTATATAAATGCGACAAGTGTGATACATTATAGCAGTAATTCGGCGACTCCAAATTCTTGTAAGTGGATAAATTATCATCAACAACTTAGTATACTCATACAAAGTTGGCCTAAGTTAATGATTTTTATTTCTATTTCAATTAAGTTATGTTAATGTACACTAATAATAAAATTTCAAACGTTTAACATTATTTTAATTTTTGGTTAACTTATTTAAGTTGAAACTTAATACCTACATATTTTTAAAACTTTTTATGCAGTTGAAAAAAGATTAATTTTTTTATTATATTATCCTACTTTATTTGTTACCACGCTAAAAATACATAGTGCTTAATGTTTATACAGTATTTTTAAGTACATATAATATGTTGTAAATTTCAAGTATCTACTGTTATTCGCCTTTGAATTACAACAAAATAAGAAAAACGCTACATGAGAAATCGAGTGAATATAATAATGTTGTAAAAATTTGAACTTTAAATGCTCGTAAAAATTTAATTTGGCATTCTTTTTGTATTTTTGTATACAATTTTCAAGCTTTTTGACAAAACGAAAAATATTTTGACATTTATAGAAAAAAAAACTAAAAAATTTTAATACTGAAAATTTCCGTAAACAGGTAAAAACATGTCAAAATATTTTGAAAATTGTATAGTAAATGATAATATAAACATTGAGTGAAAATTGCATGTAAATACGGTCATAAGTTTTAATATGTTACACCAAAAACCAAAATCGATTTTGTCAAAATTAGATTTTTCGAAAAATATCAGTTTTTCCTTAATTTTAGATTCTGAGTGGAACGATGAATGTATTGATTTTACAATGATGTGTGTTTTTTTTTTTATTTTTTATTTTTTTTTTTTAGTGTCTGTGTACATGATTAATAGTCGAAATAATGCTTCGATTTTCAACTTCAGTATCTTGTTCAATGGGAAATTGAATCTAGTTGGTACTAGTAGGTCAAAATTTAAAATTCAAAATAGTTTTCAAAGGCGCCCGAAAAAAAAATAAAAATTATGGAAAAACGGGAATATTTAAGCAAAATCGGTTTTTGACAATATCGATTTTGGATTTTGGTGTAACTTTATAACAAATGACTCTAGATACATGAAATTTTCACTGGTTGTTTATATTTGCATTTTCTATACACGATAAAATTTTTAAAATATTTTCATTTATTTTGAGCTGTTTAGGGACATTTTCAGTTTCCAATTGTATTAGTTTTTTTCTATGAATATAAAACTTTATTTGTTGAGTAAAAATACTTGAAAATGTAATACAAGGCTATATTATATATTATACTACTATATTGTTACAATGACATTTGAAAAATATTAAAAATCCTTAGTCGCAGTTTTTTTTTTTATAAGTATTTAATGTTCAAAAATTGACAAAATATGGAAATATCACGAAAATTATCAAGTTATTTTGAGTTAAGAATTCATAAAAAATTTTCTTTTTAAATCTAAGATTTGAAAATATAGTACAAGGTTCCTTATAAGATTATCTAAATTCATCAACAAAAAAAATGTCTATAAGAAATTCAAATTCAAATTTTATAAGAGTTTGAAGTTCAAATTTTTACAACATTGGATATTCACTCGATTTCTCATGTAGCGGTTTTCTTATTTTGTTGTAATTCAAAAACGAATATCTGTAGATTATTGAAAATTTCACTGAATATTTATTTTTATTGATTCTTATACTTGATAAAATCTTCAAAATATTTAGACTTGTTTTGAACTGTTTACGGACAATTTCATGTTTAAATTTTTTTTTTCTATGAATATCAATAAAGTTTTATTTGTTGGGCCAAAAAGTTTAAAAATCTCCTGATATATTGTTACAATATCAGTTGAAAAATATTAAAAATACACAGGCCCAATTTTTTTCATAAGCATTTAAAGATGTAATTTTGACAAAATATATCAATTTTAAAATTGAATAATTATTTTGTAGTTAAAAATGTATAAAATATTCAACTTTTATATCTAAGGATTGAAAATTTAAAACACGAGTCCACTTATGTAGTTAATTCTGTTAAAAAAAATCTAAGAAATACATAAGCATAGTTTATTTTTATAGTCATTTTAAGTTCAAATTTGGACGAAATCACATAAAAAAACCTAGAATAACTATTTTAGTTATTTTGTTGTGATTGTATAATATTATTCGTGGGTACTTGAAACTTCTAAAGTAGGTACACTATTATATATCTATGATAGTATCAGGGTTTGTTATTGATGCATAACTCGTTATAAGTACCTAAAGGATATTGTGATATTGATAATTTGGAATTTATTATAGGTACCTATTATAGGTCAATTATTTTTTTAATACCATAAATATGTATATAATATGTCTTATACCTAGACTGACATGCCGTCTCCACTCAGAATCGTTTTTCTTATACAATGATATTATATTATTGAATTAAAATATAATACCATCAATTATATAGTGACCCACTTGTGACCTACTGTACAACAGAGCACCTTTTTTGTTGGTTTTTCTAGACGCGTTTGAAAATTATTTGGATTTCTTTATTTGTTTTCCCCTAAAAATACCAATTAGTTTACTTTCTTCTAGAAACGATACTATATTAAAGACAATTGAATTATTTTTACTGTCCCAAAAAGTAATGAAAGACACAAATAAAAAAAAACACAGACATCATTGTAAAATCAATACATACATCGCTCTGCTCAGAATCTAAAACATGGATATTTTTAAATGGCTATAACTGACTCAACCCAGTATGTTGATAACGGACTTAACAACCCTGCGGACCCCAGTCATTGTTTTAGGAAAGTGGTTTATCTGTCTCCCAATATACTAATGGTATATTTCAGTAACCATATCCTAACTTTAAATTTGTGAGATAGTCTGGTCATCCAGGTTGTGGGTTGTTTGCAAGACCAACAACCCTAAGTTAGTAATAACTAATGTCAGAGGGAAATGAAATTTAAAAAAACGGGGGACAAATTCAGCCAAGATATAAATGATTCTATGGTGTTGTGAAATTGCTGAGATCACGATCTTTTTTTTAATTTCCAAAAACAACAGCTTATAAGGAGCGTTGTATTACATTTTCAATTTTTTTCACGAAGCGAAAAATATTTATCAACAATAATTAAAAAAAACTAATAAAACTAAAATTTTCATTTACCTATAAATAGCTCAAAAAGAGTCGAAGTATTTCAAAAATTGTATGGTGCTTTTGAAAACTGTTTGAAATGTTTTACTGATGAGCCCACAAAGTACCACTTGATTCACTTGCCTCCCAGAAATGATCCTGTTGAAGAAAATCGTACATTTTTACCGTCCCAAATGGCAAAATGTAATAGCAGTCACAAAAAATACACTCGTTGTAAAATCAATACAGTCATGGCTCTACTCAGAGTCAAAAATTAAAATAAATCATCTTCTTAAAATTAAAATTTAAGTCATTAATTGAACGTTACCTAAGACACATTCAAGTTCAACTATACTCTATTCCAAATAAGAATGGAAAACACTGCGCGGCCTTGGAACGGTAAAACCGCTATGATTGGCCAGAAGTCTTCAGCTCATCGACGGCAGCCAACGAGACTGCACATGCACGAACGTGACGCGGTTTCGTCGTGATTTTTTTCCATTCATATTTGGAATAGAGTATAGATTTTAAATAAAAGAAACCGACAAACTCGAAAGGAAATAGTTTAGTTAGAGAGTTCTAATTACATTTACTTTTAATTTTTAACTTGGTAATGCCCAACAAAGCTATTATAAAATAAATATTTAACTATCAGTAAAACAACATTTTTGGTTGCATCCTAGGTTTTAATTAATAAGAATGATGTTTAAATTTGAATTATGAAATCTATTGTTTTATATTATATTTTATATTATGTTTTGTATAAAAGGGTATGATATTGTTATGCTAAATGAAGTTGTGGATTACTACGTAATTGGATTTGAACAGTTTAATGAATGTACTGATGCTCTTTTAAAGGGTGGAGTTACTCCTATGGATTCATCAGATCCAAATGTTAATACCTTAGTAAGATTCATGTCAAATACCTGAGTCAAAAATAAGATTAAAAATATTATGTTTTTTTTCAGAATAAACTTAAAGATGCCTTACTAATGACAAACATTACGAAGGATAAGCTATATTTAGAATATTTAATAAATCCTACTGTAAAGAAAATAGATGAAAATACATTTAAGAAATGTGAAAGATCATATAACGAGGTATAAAAATGTATTTTTAATTTAATATATCCAACAGTTAGAACAATACAATTATACAGATCACATAGTTCTATTAGAATAATATTGTTAATACACCTACTTCAATCTAATACTGATATTACTTTTCTCTACACAAAGTGATTTTTAAGCATGGTTACCCACCCCCCCTCCCCACTCCCCATATTTTCATTCAATAGTACGTTTATTAGAATTCTGAGTTTAAGTATTTTTAAATATATTTTAAAAACAATATTTAAAAATGTTTAATATTTTTTGTACTACTTAAGGAGTATCATATGGAGATATAAAATTCTATTTTTCAAATGACAACTCCCATTTTCTACTGCAAATTATTTAGAGGATGATTTTCTTAAAAATGTTTATGTATCTAAATCAAAATTTTAGTGAGTAGTTTCCGTGGTATTCAAATGTTTTTACCAAGGATAATTATCCTTCAAAATGGTTTTATAAAAATATAAGCTATATGTAATATTAGATGAAGTATTTTTCCAAATCATTTATGCTAATGGATCAATAGTAATTAGTAACAATTTTCAAATCGTCTAAGCCCCCACCCCCATATCTAATTAACCCATTACACTATTCTTAGTACACAAAGTTACATAACTCAAAAACTATTCATTTAAATGTTGATTTAGAAACAACAAAATTCTCGAAAAAAATATATGAATAATAATTAATAATGAAAAAGAGAGGTTCCTATTTGTAAACAGAAATTTGTATTGTCACAGGATGGTCCTTAATTAGTAAGAAAAAATCTCAAGAATGGGAAAATATGGTCTTTAAGTGTATTTAAAAATTCTATACTGGGTTCCACGAGAGAGTGCGACTGGGTGGCGACCAAAACTTGTTTATTTCCGCGCATCCCCACCACATTCTTGTCAAGGTTGCTTACCGTCGGTATTTGTCGAACGGTGTTGTTATAATATACAGAGCGATTAGTATTGTAATCTTGTTTATTATTATGACATGTTTTGTGGTAGTTTTAATGATAAAAAAGTAATAATCAAAATAAATTATACTTATTTCATAAAAATAACTCCTATAGGTACTGATAATATATTATATTATAATGGTTAGTCACGGTTAACATTTGTGGTGTGTTACCTCAGCCGCTGTATACAGTGAGCGGACGTCACATGATGTGGGAAAATTGGCCTTACGACGTCGGAGCTAATTCATTTCGATACTCGTAGCGGTCGCACACATCCACGGAATAGAGTATAGATTTCAGAATTTGAATATATGCCTAAAAATGCACAAAAACCGAAAAAAAATTTGGATACAGCCTTGACTAAGAATATGTTTACAAGAAAATATTGAAATGTGTAAACTAATTTAAACTCAGTTTAAAGGCTAAAAAATGTAGAAAAAAAAATTCTAAATTAACTTTGTGTATCTAATGTGTATATTCCATTTTTAATAATTAGGGTTAGCTGTAATAATTTGGAAGCTATTTTTAATTTCGCAAGTGGCCCATGTATTTTTTATATATTAATATTTTTTTTTTTATTCGTTAATTGCGTCTGGAAAATGTGAATATTTGCTACAGTTATTATATAACATATTAACACCAAAAGTATACTATACTCTATTCCAAGAGAGAATGGGTATATTCTGAGCATCTCATTGCGTCACTCTAGTATCGAAATCGGTTCACTCAGGTTGTCGAGTAGGAACTCCCAATGTGTAGAAGAACCAATTTTCGTAGGGCCACGGACCGTTCTCTCGTGGGATACCAAATAGAGACATAAAGTATAGACGTGCCGATTATGAACTGAACTTTATTAATGCTCCAAGAAGCACACATAATCATAGTTATAGTTTACTATACTGTCAAGTAAATAAAATACGATACGTTCTCAAGCAACTAGTCGTTTGAATCAGTGTTGCTTTCCCGGCCAATGAGCTCAACGGTCTGTCTGCTATTTCGAGTTCTGAGCTTCGAACATTCAAGCATTGAATAAGAGGATGCCATTTTGTTTTCTCTCTCTGACTCTGACTCACGTGAAACATAGCAAATCTACGTTTAGCAGAAGCAACTGAGTGAATTCACCTATTATCAAACTTTAAGTTATCTGTGTCCCAACGTTTGCTGTTTTATGCTATTTTAATTTCTATATAAATGATGAGCGTAGAGAAAGTAAAAACGCTTTTAAAATGTGTAAAAATTAAAACATCGTAAAAAAAAGCCAGGTAGGGGCACAGGTAATATTCTGAGGTTAAAGTTTGATAATGGGTGGATTCACTCTAATATTCAAAGTAACAACACGGGTTGGTTCTGTTAAACATAAATTTGGTATGTTTTGTATGGGTCAGAGAAAGAAAACAAATGGCGATCCGATATCTTCTTGGTATACAGTTCAATTATTATTGTATACCTACATAAATTGCATGCGTGCTACCTCTAAGACCTTGGCATTGGCATACCTGTATTCTGTCTGGCGAGAAAACCCAACTCGCTCAAGCATCCAAATAAAAGCTGTCTGTTAGTCTGGCCTCGAGGTGTAAATTATTCTCTCACCACACGGCACCTTAAGAGCGGGCCGCAACCGCGTATGTTGTCTTCGTCTTACAAGTGCATAACATGGCAAATTGTACCCTCAGCAGAACACGTGTAGCTCCGTTAGTTTGAAATTAGAGTAAATTGACCTCTTATAAAATTTAAAGGCAAGATTATTATCTGACAATCTCATGGGCTTTTTATTATATTTGAATTTTAAAGCGAGTTATGAGTATTTAAAAATTGTAAATTGTTTGTACACCTTAATATACTCATATTATGTGAATACCATGGAGTTCAACAGACAGCATTCGAGCTGGTAATGTGGTGGGATTATGCAGCAATAGTTTTGGTATCCATCTAGTTACGTTCTCTCACCGGACCGAGTAGGTATAACAGACTGTGGCCACATGACGTCCATAGTATATTATGATACATCAGTTGTCGATCCAGATTAGTCAATAGTCAACCTCATACTCAGTCAATGGCAACCTGATGCTCACCATGTTCAGTGCTGTGCGTCCATTCAGGTTTTTATTCTGGTGATTAATGGAAGGTAAATAAAATATCCCGATAGTAACTATATGCTTTATAAAATAACTAAGCAGCAATTTGCGACTATACAAAATATACCTACCCAAGCTGTGATTTACCATTTCTTTGAATAAGTGAATTTTTGGGTGCGCCATTTACTTAAACCAATTTTTAGGGATAATATATCTCAGCAGCAGTCTTCAAGCTTCAAATAGTTATTTTTAGAATTTGGTTGATCCATGTAATTTATTAAATACTTTGAATACTGGATTTAACAATTTATTTTTATTAAAATATTTTATATACATTTTTACAGTATTGTGAAAATTCTGGTTATAAATATAGATGGTGTGCCGATAATCAACAAACATTTTTTGATAAGGTAATACTCTGTAGTGTTTGATATGATGATAAAATTGTATTTAAAAATTTTCTTTATTTCATAGGGTGTGTTCGCCAAACAATATGCAAACGGGTTCATAGCAAGAGAAATAGATTTAGTCGATCGCGATCTAAAATGCAAATGTGATGAAAATAAGTATGTGACGTTTTATATGGTATTAAATGGATTTAAAGGATTGAACATGTTGCATTGCGATAAAATAGATGGCAGCTGAATAATTTTAATAATTATTATTAAATATTTATTTATTGTCACTTAATAAAAAAAATATATAAAATTAAAAAGTTGTTTTAAAATATTAAAATTATAATATTTCTTCATAAATCATGTTAAGTCAGGTTAACTAATGTTATATTTTGTGTACCTATTAAAAATATTGTCCATCCTAGATAACTTTTTGTGGGCAGTTTTGGACCAAACATTAGATATTTGTTTTCATAACATCAGTTGAGAATATAACTTATTCCAGCATATCACCTACATCTGAATTAGTTGTTAACAGTGTAAAAATACACCCTGCATCGGGGAACACAGTTACGCAAATGCAAACGTGGTGTCCAAGCTCCTTAGATGCTGCTCCTATACTACCCAAGGCATGAGTAGATAAATGATCGTAGAGATTACCACTGTAGAAAATTATCCGATGTCAAAAAATTCGAAACGCCCAAAAAAATGAATTTGACTTTCAACTAGTTTCAAGGAAACTTTTTTATTTTTTTTAAAGTAGAAAAACTTATGAACAATCTTGTATTCAAATCTTATAGATATAAAATAAATTAATTTCTAAATTTCTTTAAAAAGAAATTAATTTGAAAATTATATGAATATTATATTAATCCTGACAAATAATGTCAACATTCTAACACTCATAAAACACTATTATAAATTTACTATAAATTTTTTTTTTTAATAACAACTCATGAGGATTATTACCCTTGTGTTACATTTTCAAGTTTTTTGATCAAGTGAACAATTATTTATCGACAATAATTGAAATGAAACAAAAAAAAAATAAACAAAGGAATTTTTATTTCTATATATAGCTCAAAAAGAGTCAACATATTTTTAAAATGTATGGGATGTGGTTACACAAACATTTGGTGAAAATTTAAAGTATTTTTTTTTTTTTGACTTGATAACGTCTTATAAATTGATGGAGCCGGATGGAGTCGATTTGACTTTTTCAAGACACATTAAAGTAGAAACACTCCCGTCCATTTCCTACTTTTCCTATCATCGTCCTATTCTCAACAGAATAACACAAATTGGAAGAAGTTAAAATATATCACACATGTTTAAAATTTGTAAAACAATTGCTCAACGCACTTTTTACAATTCATACTTTTAAAAACTATTAAATTGTAAAAAAAAAAAATTGACATAATTTATTGTATTTATGCGTACAAATAAATGTAACTTGATCAATTCCATTGTGATTTCCATTTACCTCCTTCTCTATATACATACAAATCTATTAAACAAATTAAATTAAAATTTACTTTTGAAAAATGCTACCATTCCTTCAGTATTTTCTTAACACGTTGTCACGTTCAACTATCGTCAGTAAACCGACTTTACAGACAACCGATTTTTTATGACATCGACGGCGATGCTGAAACTGCAGACTGCTTAAGCATTACATCGACAGTGCCGGCATCTTTTATTAATTTTCAATATGTATTGTTTATTTAAACAGGCTGAAGCCGAATACATGATTTATAAAATGTTTAATAATATGTGAGATTAGAAATAATAGTTTAAAATTGAGGAACAAATAAATCAAAGGAAAACAGTAGAAAAATAAAATAATGAATTAGTATAATATAAATATAAATGTGATTACTAATATTATCAATTAATATAATTACAAAAATTTAAGAAATTCTAAATCTTAAATCTTAAATTTAAGAAATCAATTTGGGTATCATTTGCTAATTTAGTAAATCTTTTTATAGGAGCATTTATGGTATGGTGTGATCTGTGTAAGTGATTGTGAAAAATATAAGTAGACCTAGTTTGTCATTGAGGGTCGAGGGACATAACAATTTCTAAAACTAAGCAATTATGAACAATCTAAATAAGAAATTCAAATCCAGTACTTTTCTACGGACAACAAGGCTACTCATATTTTAGTGTGTCCCATAACGGTTTGACGCGGCTACGACGGTGATGGTGTGGTTGTACCGCGGTAAGCTGATCGTTGAAGCAGTGTGAAGGTGTGGGTGAGGGTGACACTCACAAAATTTAAATAATAAATAACACGTCCGAATGAAGCAGGGACGTTTATTTAATACAAATGAGAAACACTCGTAACGGCGTGATTAGTCATTAGTACCGTGATTATATTATTATATATAAGAATCAGAGAAAACTCAATGCCGGAGAGGCCGTGGTTCGGAATACGGTGACAAAAAACCGTGGTTGACACTAGATGAGAGATACGTATTAGATCTACGAGGGTGTATTCCGACGAACGGTTGGTGGGGGAGGGAGATGTCGCCGGCAGCCGGTACTCGTCCAGCGCGACTTGCCTTCCCGTCCGACCTTGTGCCTTTTGGCATGGTGTGGGAGTCAACAGTGTCGCGCCGTCTATCTAGCTCCGGTGCCTGTACTTTGACGAGCGGATCAAAACCACCCTGATCCATGCACATTATTATCAATTCTCCGTTATCACTATAGGTACCTAACATATAACATCTGATATGTCTTTTTTTAGTAATTTATATTGAATTTTGTAAAACACTTAAATTACCCATTAAATTCTATTAATTTATTTACCTGGGTACCTATTTAAAGTTTTATTAAATTTAATAAAAACATAATATCACAATTATTAATTTATTATTTTTGTACTTTGTTGTATGGGTCTTATAGGTAAAATATTGAAAAACTAAAATAAAAAGATATAGATACATTTTTATATTTCACCAAATGATTATTTTTGTTTTATATTTATTGTCAGTCAAAATCACTGTAGATCAGCACCCATAAAAATATGATATGATGGATATATTAATTTAGAATACCTACTATTTTTAAAAATTAGGTGCACCTAATCGATCATTTTTTAAAAATAAAGTAAATAAGTAAATACAAAATCTATACATTGTTAATGTTAGTAAAACACTTAAATTACACATAAAATTCTATTATAAATTAATAATTGTAATATTTTTTTATTGTATTTAACAAAACTTTAAATAGGTACCCAGGTAAATAAATTAATAGAATTTAATGTGTAATTTAAGTGTTTTACAAAATTCAATATAAATTACTAAAAAAAATGACATATCAGATGTTATATGTTAGTTATAGTGATAACGGTGAATTGATAATAATGTGCAAGGATCAGGGTGGTTTTGATCTTCTCGTGTACTTTGTACTGGTCGTCGTTGCGTACCGTATCAGGCTTATATAGTGAATGTGGTTGCAGTGGAATACTACATATTTTGTAGGATATAAAACTAAGTAAACGATTTTGAATTGCTTCGAGGCATTGTATATTAGCAAAAGGTGACCACATAATAGAATTATATTCAAAAGTGAGGCGTATACTAAAGATAAATATAACGTTTTTAATGTTATGGGATTTGAAAAAACCTTACATGTCCTAGTAATAAATCCAAGAATGGATCATGATTTTTTTGAAATATTTAAATAATGCATATTAAAAGATAAAGTTGAGTCAAACGTAACCTAAATCAGTATTTTCAAATACATGATGAAGTAAAGTATTATACAAATAATAGTTGTGGAGAACTAGAACACGTGACCTAGAAAAGACGTAACTTTACATTTATCAATGTTTAACAATAAATTGTTTTACAGTGTTAAAGGTTATTTAAGTCATCCTTTAATAGGATAAAATCCTAGGGGGACTTAACTAACCGAAATAGTTTCACACCATCGGCGATTTGAAATTTATGAGAATTCAGAATTGTATTTAAAAAAAACAATATAAATAACAAGGAAGCTAAATGTGAACCTTATGGAACTCCTGGTTGAACACCAAACGGATCTGACATAAAATGTTTTACTTTGACGATCTGCTTTCTGTTTGTGATACTGATATAAGAAATCAACCAAGACAAAAAGGATCACGGATACTAATAGAATGAAGCAGTGCCGTAACTAGGCTACTTGAGGCCTGTGTGCAAAACCAAAATGACCTCAACCAAAAGGGGCCTCACCCTTATTATCTTTTCAATACACACCTCAAAAACTTTATTTTGCAATTTTTAAAGTCAGCAAACAAAAATTCGGGCTTAAACAAAATAAAATGTTTAATTAAAAATAATCTATAATTTTAAAACAATTTCTCAAGGCTATAACTAACTCAAAAAAGTAAAAATTTTCCAAAATGTAATTCATTGAAAATATTAATATATATATTTGGTGAAAACTTCAATGGTCTACGCCCTACGGTTATTAGTTTTCGAGTTACACTAAAAAATAAAATTTTTGGTTTTAGGTAAAAATGACAATTTCTTTTTTTTATTGACGCTTTTTAATATCAATAACTAAAAATTTCGGTTTCGATCTCCAAAAAGTACCAACTAGATTCACTTTTCTAACAGAAAAAATGCTGATCTCAAAATTCGGAATATTTTTACTACCCAATGTTGATGACCCACAGAAATGAAAAAAACTATACACATCTTGTAAAATCAATACATTTGTTCGTTCCACTCAAAATCTAAAAACAGTGATCACGACTCCATGCTATACAAAAAAAAATGAAATAACATTGGTTTCGTTTCCAAATCAATAATAAATAATTTATATATTTTAATAATTTTATATTAGTTTAATATTTGTCTTTAGACCTTTTGAGGCCCTTCGATATATTATATGAGGCCCGAGGCCTGTGTGCGGTGCACACTTTGCACACCCGGTTTTTACGGCACTGGAATGAAGCTTATTAGAGAAGAAGGTATGGTTAATTTTATCGAAAGCCTTTGAAAAATTAGAATTGATTACACCCACTTGATAACCTGAAGCAAAAAAATCCAATATCAATTTCTGAAATATAAATATATTTGTAGTTTTTGATTTACCTACCCTTTAAAAAACCATGTTGATCATTATTAACTATTGGGGCAAGTGTAGCATATACAGTCAAATCCGCTTAATTGGGACACATCGGGCGGTGACCTATTTGTCCTCATTATCCCGACTGTCCCGATTAACTGAAGAATTTTACATTCAATACATTCATTCGGGACTGTCATTTATATCCCCATTAAGCACGTGTCCTCTTTAAGTGGCGTCCCCTTTAAGCGGATTCTACTGTATTTGTTTACAAATAATAGATTCAAATATCTTAGGTATTCTTTAATTTTACAATATAATTTATTATATTATATTATATTGGTTGAATAAATTTTTTAAGTATTTATATTTTAAAACTAGCTGATCCCGTGCACTTCGTCGCCCGTTAAATGGATCAACTCAATTCTACCTACTCAAACTTTGTTCAATTCATTAACGTGTATGGTGTTCAAAATTTATCTTATCTTTCCCGTTGCCCTGAATAAAAATTCTGAATCGCAGCAGTACATTATCAGGTAGGCAATCTACCTGCGGTAGATCGCGGACCCCGTGCTGTTTGTACGGAAGTGTATGATTTAACTCTAAAGTATCAAAGTTATACCAAGTTTATAAATTTGGTTGCTCGTAAAAAATCGCAACTCTTAAAAAAATTATGATTGTTGAACTCCTTTTGGGTGTAATTTTCTGCGGTAAGTGCAACTCTGCCACCCTGGTAAGCATTGTTCAATAATTCGATTTGATGCAAGCTTGTACCTGATCTGCCCGAATAACCAATGGCAACCAATAAATAAATGCTAATTTCTAATGTAGACTGTAACCAATGGCAACTATAAATAAATAAAAATAAAATTTCCAATTTCTATCGTGAATCTCAATGTCCCTGTTTCAGCACCTATTTAAAATGCGAATTTTGGCAAATCCTTTCTTAGCGCACGTCTATATTATAATAGCTATCCGTATGCCAAATTTCAGCCAGATCCGTCCAATGGTTTGAGCTGTGCGTTGATAGCAGTCAATCAGCTTACTGTTTTTTATATACAGATATGGTAACCATGGTAACATGGACACACAGACACACACACTGACATACATTCATTTTTATATATATAGATATAGAAATGTATTTTTAATAGTTGCTTAAAATGTTTAAATATAACACGGTTTGAACAGCAAATTAGTACTAAATAATATACTAAATAATATTTACAAAACAAAATTGTGTAATATATTATGTAATCGTATTTTGTGATAAATAACTTTCCAAAATTATATCTATTCGGATATTATACATATAGTATATATAGTATAATTAAAAAATGAAATGGCCAACTATATTCAATCTATGGCAAGTTGTTGGTTCTATACCTAGCATTCCTTTTTCAGTTTTATTTTCAAACAGAGTTATTAGTGGTGGTTACCTATTTCCCTACTTTTTTCATTAACTAACCAACTTTGAACAAAAGCAAGGTATAAATACTATTAGTGTATTAAGTATCTACCTAATATATTATCTTTTAAATGAATAAAATGATTTTAAATAAAAACAAACAAATAAATATTCATCGGTATAATTAAGTTCATACTTCAGTTAGTTGATTTATTTATAAGTTATAACAAAGTATTTAGTTAAGCAGAGTGGAAGTCACATAATTACTCACCATGTGGGTCAATATAGAAATACCATTATTGTATCATAAAAATAACAATATTTTAATATTTTCAAAAATATTGTGCTGTTAGTATATAATATGAATCACAAGGCAAGTGACAATGAACAAAACAATAAATTATAGAATTAATTATTAGAATAACAAATAGTCATTATTTATAATTGCTAATCTGTATATATTATGTACACAACTGCGAGCGATTGACGATTGTCAAATTTATTATTCAAATACCAATAAGGCAGGTACCTTATATATCAGTATATCACTAATAACGACGTGCCTTTTTGTTATTTGAATAATAATTTCACAATCGCTCGCAGTTGTGTACATAACTACACATTGGGAATTATAAATAATGACTACTTGTTATTCTAATAATTAATGCCATAATTTATCATTTTGTTCATTGTCACAGTAACCTATATCACTAATAACAAATTTCAATGAGCATATAAAACTTGCCTGTTTAATGTGTTTCATATCACCATATTATTGTATTTTACATTTTTAATAATATAATGAAAATTTTAGTAGTTAATATTTGTATTGTTTTATTTAATCTAAGCATTTTGGTCAATCTAACTACAGCAGATGGTAAATAGAAATATAAACAAAAATATGCACAATTACTTGATGAATAATAAGAAAAATAAAATGTACACGAATTTATAGAACAATTTACACCTATTTATTATATTAAAAACTTAACTCTTTTGGATAGTGCTATCTTAAAATACTAAGACTTAACAATGTCTTTTTAGAACTTGGTGAATCATCGTGTAGGTATGCAGGTGCCCATGATCCCCATGGTGATAAATGTCACGAAGATAAAGTGAAGTTAAAAAAACTACCATCACCTGAATGCACAGCTTTAGTTCATGACGGAATAACATGTAAAGACGATGGTCCTGATAATTATCCAACCTATATTCCAACGGACTTCGGTAGGTAATAGCTATTAGGTATTAATACACCTAGTAATATTAATATTTTACTGTAATTTTTAAAATAAAGTCTTGAATAGTTTCGAAGAGTTCAATTTATAGTTTTAGGTATTTTAGTAATTTAGTATAATTATAATTAATAAGATGATGATGACCTAATTATGTGATTTAAATTACTCTTCGATAGACTAAATTTGTCCAACTGATTATTATAATAATAATATATTTAAATTGTTTGGTCCCAGTGGCGGTGCCAAGGTATACCATACTATTAAGTATGCATATCAAGTAAACATTTTAGCCTCAATTAATTATTAAAAAGAGGTTGGTTAACTAAATGTTGTTGATCATATTTTAATACTTATATTAGTTTTTTTTATACAATACGATCGCTGTAGAATAATATTGTGTGGCATGGGCGGGAAGTGAGCTGTTTCAGTTGTGGGTGACATTTGCATTAGGTACCTACGAATCTACCAGCCACTGGCAGGGAATGTAATTCGCCTAAATCTTAAATAATTGTCTACCCACAAGAGTCATTCACATAATTTATTTTGTCAAGCATCTACCACATCCAAAAATGCTTGTATAGATATTATGATAATCCATATTCCATAGTGAACTGTTCTTGTCGATCTCGGTATCTTAATTCGAAAAACTGCTTCATAGAACAGCACAGGAATACAGGATAGTAAGCATTGAATATTAAACTTTTCTGCGCAGGCATGACAAAAAAAATACTTAATTAATTTATAATTTATTTTATAATTGAAATGGGTAGGTTACATACTACTCATGTTAAAATATTTGCGAGAATAATTAACAAATATCAAACTATGATGTACACTGTACATTAATTAAAGTAGGTACATATTTATGATTTTTTACAGAAACCTTTCAATCAATTGTAAAATTTAGCGATAATGTACATATATTTTATGGTTATCAAGACATTCAATCTTGGTCTGTGGCAGTCGATTATGAAAAAATTGTAGTTGAAGCTCAAACAGCAAAAAAGTTTTGTGATTTTTTTGGTGTGAAGGGGTTGATTCTAAAAGGAATATATTACGATTATAATCTTGTAAGTAAAGTATAACACAAAAAAAAATGTACATTATGATAAGTGATATAGTTTACTAAAATAAAATCATAGGCTTAACTATTGAAAAAATGTTAATTATATATTTCGATATATTGTCCAAGAGGCATACGGCATACCTATAGGAGTTAAATCATTCAAATATTGGGAGGTATAACATTAAATATTTATTATTATTATACTAAATATCTTCAATCGATATTGAAGAAATTCCTAACCCTGGGGGTGGGCAGTATCTTAGATATATTTGTATTTTGACCTTTTGACTTTTATTAATATAATCGTTTATAAAAAGATATGTAGCCCATCATGTATAAGTTTTCATTATTTTTGAATTCAGTTCAGCTTCAGATCATAGTTAAGTTTGAATGATACAATTGCGAATGGCACGATTTCGAAAAGGCCTTTTCCCGTAACACGATTGCGAATGTTTTTACCTGCCTTTTTTTGTGCGGCATTGCCAGATTTGGTGTTAGTCAATTATATTTATAATATTATTTTTATTAATTTAGATTTATTTTCAAATTTAATTCAAATTTAATTAATTAAAGATAATCCAAAAGATATAAAATACAGTGGTACAAACTATGCGTAAAGCGATGTACGATAGGTAAGCGACGTAAAATGTAACCCGTTTATCCCAAATCATTCAACGAAGCAATGTCTCAACTGAAACTGGTGTAAAATAATTTTTGTTATTTTAACAAAATTTGTTTTTGTTCCGGAAAATTCTGACCAAGGAAAAAATAAAAAATATAGAAAAAATATTTTATAAACTATTACATTATATTTTTTTTTCAGTTTGTTGCGTATTATACACAGTAACATTATTATTAAAATTTATTTAATCAATCAACATTTTAAGTACTTTCTGTAGTTATGTCATTTAATTCTAGTTTGTACCATAGTTATAATGTAACATTGTTTAGCAATTAATAATGTATTTTTTTTATTATTATTATTATTATTATTATTATTATTATTAATTTGTAAAGGCTTCAACAACATAGATCTTTAGCCTAAATGTATTAATATCGAATAGTTTTTAATTAAAAAAACAAATGTTTTAATTGAATCCCAGAACTAGGTAATTAAAACATATTCAGAAAAATATAAAACTTGGCAATGTAGGCTAAAAAAACGTTCGCAATCGTTCACTTTTCGGCTATAAAAACAAATTTTTTGATAAATGACATTCGTTCGCAATTATGTCATAGAAAAGATATAATGTTCACAATCGTTTGCGCCCCTATTGACACACATTTGACATTTCACCTGCTCACAAAAAAGGTATATTGATTTCATCCTTTAACCCATTAATGCTTAAATCATAAATAAATATACTTGATGCCTGATGGTTCATTTAACGTACGACACTGTAACCTACTGTACAGCAAAGCACCTTTTTTAAGTACTTTGAACTACATTAATTACAACATAGTTTAATTTTATCTTCGAAAACACAATATTTTTCTGAGTATTCCCGATTCCGATACATAAATCGCAAACCACTTCACTCCGCTCATCTGTATAATCATACAGATATCAGTACTCATATCTGTCAAATCAATATTTGACGAATAACGATTGAAATTTGTAAACTTAATTATAACGGAAAGAGATAATCAAAAATAATTAAATACCGCAAAACAAAGCATAATGAATAACAAAATATATAGTACATCATTAAACAAATAATATCGCAAAACGTTATTTATAGAATATCATTAAACGAAAAGTACAGCAAACCAAAATCATTTGAAAATTTAAAATCCATTTATTTAAAAGTAAGGTATATTGGTTTAGTAAAAATATATTTTATTTCATGCTATTTATTTTTGTCTTAGAAAAAAATCTAAGAACTGATCATATTATATTCCGTATCAGGGACATTACCTACTCTCGTTTTTTTGGAGTTATTGATAACTTTTAAATTGAATTGCCAATAGCGAATACCTAGGATAATAATAATAATTATTATTATTAATAATGATTAATGAAGCCCCGATAATTGCGCTGTAGAAATATAGAGTGTAGACTTATTTTGTATTCACCTTGTACTTTTTCTACTCTGTAGTCTGTACAACTGTGGTCCTCTTGTGAGTGTTAAAGTATATTATACTGTTGTTAAAAAATCCGTTTTATTTATATTAGCTAAATATTAAAACAATTAACGCAATCATGGGTAGAACAATTTCTAACCCAGTACTAAAAATACAAAGGTGGGCATAAGGTTGTTAAAAAGTTAAAGTTGAGTTAAAACTTACAAAGTTAATTTTTTTTTAACTTTTTAACTTAACTAGTTTATTATTTTTGTTTTTAGCTTATTAACTTATTCAGTTAAACTTTCCAACGTAATTATATAAAATACCTAGATGTTGGTATATAGAATACCATTTATGCCAATATTAAATATTAAATATTAATAAAATAATAAATTATAATTTTCTGGTAACGATGTTGAAAAAAATTAAGTAGTAGATAACTTACTAGATTATTGGAAAATATTGGGTAAAACAACGTTTTTATTCTGAATAACGATAAACGCAAAAATTGGGTAACGTTTTAATTCTGTATAACGATAAATGCAAAAATTGTGTAACGTTTTAATTGTAAATAACGTCAAACGGAATTTTTTTTTCAAACGCAAGCCCTGTTTTAAATACTTATGCCTCATAAGCTACTTGTACTAAATTAGATTTTTATGTAAAATAATATTCAGAAATATATGAAATTAAAACTGTATGTAGTCATTCAAAAAAGTACAAACTTAAAAAAATTTAAAGATAAAATTTCATTTAAGGATAAAATATTTAAAAATAATAAATATATAGATATATATTATAAAAATGTAGTTTTTTGACGACTAGAAACCATGTAAGAAATATTTTTCAAAAACGTTTATACTTTTTTAAATATTGAGTATTCAATTATAAAAGAATCACTTTTATATATTATTGAACACTCAAATTATACTTAACTGGGGTATACGCTTTATAGTGACATTAAGTATAAAATAGTAAATGGATACATTTTCAATTAAATATAGGCAGTTATAATTTTATACTTATTTAATAATGATTTTTTTTAAACTGAAGGCTCCAGATTATCATTTTCCTGAAGACTTCAACTCAAAATTAAAAACTTATGTGCAGACTATGAAAACTGACATGCCTTACTTGAAAGTTGGGTTGTATTTAAATGCAAAAAGTGTGATTTATTATAGATATGATACATTGTCTCCAGATTGTAAGTGGATAAATTAACATTGACAACTTACTATTACATATATTACTTAGCAAAGTTAATGTTTTTTGTTTTTTTAAACTCTGTCAAGTTAAGTTAATGCATTAATGTTAATTTATGTTAATAGTTCATAGTTAATTTAATTATAGTAAAACTTTTTAACTCGTTAATGCAACCTTGTTTATATACAATAAATATTTAATTAAAATTAGTATTAGTAAAACCATATTTATAGTTTTAATTAATTATAGTTATGATTTTTAATATTTAATAGGAAATTTATATTATACATCCAGTAAAAGAATAAATTTTATGATTTGTGTTAAAGGGTTTGATTTTGGTATGTTAAACGACGTTTTGGATTACTATGTAGTTGGATTTGAGGAGTTTAATGAATGCACTGATAATTTGTTAAATGGTGGAGTTACTCCTATGGATTCACCAGATCCAAATATTAATACCTTAGTAAAATTCGTGTCTAACACTTGAGTCAAAAATAAAAATATTAAATACTATTTTTTTTTTAGAATAAACTTGGAGCTGCTTTAAACACGTCAAACATTCCGCAGCAAAAACTTTACTTAGAATATATAATAAATCCTACTGTGCCGAAAGCTGATGAAAATAATTTTATGAAATGTCAAATATCATATAATGAGGTACGTACAAAAATGTATTTTTAATATAATACCTATATCCAACAGTTAGAAAATGTATCCAAATCACATAGGTATAATATTGGTTTAATACTATTATAGCCTATATAGGTAATATAGGTTACTTCAATATAATACCAATATTATTTTCTCTATATATTATGCAACTGAGAATATTTGAGTAAATATTGAATTGTATAAATTTTATATAGATCATACAATAAATTTGTTAGATTACATTTTTAAGAATTAGGGGTCACTATCATTTGTGTAATTGTGTTTAGTAAATTGTGGTTCAGATAGGTATTTTTTGTATACTTGTAAATTTCAGCCAACTTTTCCTTTTCCTCTTCTGTATTGAAACAGATTTTGTACCTATCTGAATATTTATCTCATTAGTTTTATACGCATTGTTGATATGGTTTATCGTATTAAGATAATCTGAGAAAAATTGTTACTTTTGGAACATTTGAGTCTATGACTAATTGCATACCTTTGAAGATTGGGTATGATTCCACAGCAGTAAAAGGAAATCGGCGGTAGAGTGGAAATCCAAAAAGTTCTGGACGCACATATCAGTTGCCGCGCGCCCCTGCACAACCAGACACTGAAATCTATAGCACGGTCCTTGCTAAACATAAACTTTTGGTTACATCTTATATTCATATTATAACCTCCATGCGTGACGCTTAAGACAAATAAAACCTTATCGTTTCTTTCATGAAATGCTGTTGTCGTAGATAGTCTAGTTGTTGTATAGATCCCCGCAATACATTTGGCGTGATCAATGAACGCAAAGGAGTGACAAAAAATAGTATCTGTGGCTCGTGCGGGAAGGCAATTTTAGTCTTGAGCGAAATGCTGCCCTCGCCTACGACTCATGTTACACACGTCGCCCGTGACAGAAATATATCACTTCCCGCTCTTGTCACACAATCATATTGTGAATATATATGCTATTTTGGTAATGTGTAAATTATATGATAATAATATAATTATATAATTATAAAATTATATGTGTAAATATTTTTTGTTAGGTTAATTTATGTAGTAAATGATAATAAAAAGATGTTAGTTATAAAAAATATAATTATAAGTTATTAATTAATCAATTATAATTTTTATGTAAATTTAAAATCGTAACTCTAATATTTTAATATTTATCCACAAAATGTTAAATATAATGATGATCCGATGAGGTGTATAAAAGCTTGTATTAAAATTAACGTGGAAAGATTCACAGGCATTAGTTGTCCGAGTTAATGTTACGGAAGCTGTTGCCCAAGTATTCAGAGGAAAGTCAGCAAATAAAATATACGTGTTTAAAATATATCAAGAAAATTGTTTATGTCATTCATCTTCAGTCATCGTAGGCATTAATTCATAATTAAAATAATTGCAAACATTTTCTGGCTATATAATATAATAGATATCGATGAATTCAAGGTCACTTAGATGCGGACACAATTTACTATACCTATATTAGAAACCAAAAAATCCCGGGCGCCATTTACTGTAGTATATTTTTTACTACCTGTTCAATGTTGGCACAATTTACAAGCACCCAAATATACCTACCAAAGCTGTAGTTTATATGTTTATGAATGGGTGCTTTGCGGTGGAGCAATTTATTCACACTGATATTTAGTGATTCATATTATACATCTCAGCAGCAGTCCCCCAAACACTAAATTATTTTTAGAACTTGGTTGAATCCATAATATTATAATGTACTATAAACTATATCAATATTGCATTTTGACGAATCATATAATTAAAATATTTTATATACATTTTTACAGTATTGTCAACATTATTATAAATATAGATGGTGTGCCGATAATCAACAAACATTCTTTGACAAGGTAATACTTTCTTGTGTGTGATATGATAAAATATTATATAAATGTTTTCTCTAATGTTTATAGGGTAGGTTTGCTAAACTATATGCAAATGGATTCATAGGAAGGGATATAGATTTAATCGATCGCGATCTACAATGTAATTGTGATAACGATAAGTATATTACGTTTCATATGATATTAAATGGATATAAAGGATTGGGAATGAAGAAATGCACTAGAATAAACGGCAGCTGAATAATTGAAATAATTAATATTGACCAATAACTTATAGGTATATAATATTACCTACTTCATAATATATTATTTATTTGAATTAATAAATATTGTGTTCTATTGTGTTATAAAAAATTAGTACTATAATATAGGTACCTACCTATAATATTTAAATACCTAATTAAATTTATAATATATTTATTGAAAAATTATTAGTGTACTATAGAGTATAGGCAGTGTTGTAAAAAATACTTTTAAAAAGTATTTGAGTAATTACTCAAATACTTATAAAATAAAGTATTTAAAATACCACCCAAATACTATCTATTGTAAAGTATTTGAGTATTACTCAAATACTTTTTAGAAGTATTTGAAATAATTTTCAAATACAAAACAAAAAAATACGTACGTATACGACATACCTTACCTACCTAATGTTCGTATTATATTTCGCTATGATAATATACTATATTGGTAGGTAGTAGGTACCGAAACGTACCGTTCCGATCGTCGTCGAGTGTCGACGATAAACAGACGGTTTCTCAGAGTAACTAATATTAATTAGCTATTAATAGACGAAAACTAAAACCAATATAGAATTGTTCATAAATGATAAATATATATTATAATATTATTAAGACATTATTATTATTTGACAATGAATAAAAAGTTGAAGGAATAAAAAAAGTATTCAATAAAATAGTATTCAATAGTAAAAAAATGTATTTAAAATACCGTTCAAATACTTCCAAAATAAAAGTATTTGAAAAAGTATTCAATACGGAAAAAAGTATTTGAATACTTTTACTCAAATACTTTTACTCAAATACTTTACAACACTGAGTATAGGCTAAACCCAAGCGATTAATCGATTAATAATAATTTCGTGTAAAAAGTATAATAATAAATAATGACTATAATTTTCAAATCATCATAGCTCCGATATAATGTACAAAACCTATATTATTATGGACCTATAGACTAGTTTTAACCCTTAGAATACAAGGTTAGATAATTCAATAACAACTAGTTTTAATTTTGTTTTACAAACGTAGACACATTCAGTGGTTGATTAACGAGGGGAGAGAAATATTATTTTTCAGGACCTTCTCTTTTTCCCCCTTCTCAGAAAAAATGTCCCACTAGACACATTAAAAAAAATAATCTGCTTAACTTTCATGGAGCTTGAATAGATATTTTGTACAAAACACGACCAGAATACATTTTTCAGTAATGTGATAATTCAACCAAAGTCCAAAAGTGTATTTTAACTTCTAAGGGAATCCTTAGTTGAATGTTTCAACAGTGTGGCATATCAACGGCTATTAATAGTGCTAAAGTTTGTGCACATTCATTGACGCTGTGACCATAGTCTAGGTATTGGTGTTGGGCCTGTAACATTATACAGAATCCAAAGTAGAAGTTCTGCGTCTCCCACGGACGACATACAATAAACCATCTAATCCAAATACGCCTAGGTACCTATACTGAACAATTAACTAAAATGCAATATATATTAAATGGCTACATACCATTCCGTCGCTATAAATGCATGTCCTCAATAGTAGTCCAAACTCCAAACTCATGTACTTGGTCTGTAGGCTTCAATACTATTCTGAACTTGAAATCCATCATGGCCACCTACAGCATAAAGTACACCATCTAAACAGTGGTTCCCGACCTATGAGATTAGGGGGAATTTAGATACTGCACTATGGAGCATAGTGATGAAGAAATGATCTACCTACGGTAGATTGCGGACACGCCGATGAACGGCTATAAGTGCAACTTAGCAACCTTTTAGGCAATATGTGTAAATTCGACTTGATGCATGCTTGCGCCTGATCCACCCGATTGGTCCTAACTATTGCCAACCAATATACAAAAAAATTCTAATTTCTACTAATTATTTCTCTTATAACCAATAGAAACAGCTTATGAACAAAAATGTTCATCTTAAATCTCAAAATCCCTATTTGAGCAGCTCTCTGGGTTGAACCTACCGGGTCCAATTGTGAATCTAAACCAACCAAAGAACCACTCAAACACGCAAAAAAAATTCATCAAAATCGTTCCAGCCGTTCAGTGTTATACAGACAAACATTCATTTATTTAAGTAAATATAGATACCTAATAATTGTACTTAGTTCATCGTAAAACAGTTTTTTTTATGTGTGAATAATATAAATTTTGAAAAAAAAATTAAAATTAAAAATTAATCATAAGCACAGTCGGGGGCTCCAGAATGTTGTTCCGTACCGGCTACGGGCGACAAAATCTGGCTATGACAATTCATTGGAAGCCGGTTGAAAAGTCGACAGTTTGTAAATCGACAAGTTAAAATGTCGACGGTCGAAACATCGACAAGTACAAAATGTCGACAGATACAACGTCGAATAATATAAATTATGTAAATAAAAAAAAATATTTAGGATATAAAAATAAAATGTATGACAATAATATGCTGACAAATCAAATTAAAGAATTAAGTAATTAAATAAATAAAATAAAATTATAATGTCATACTATAAACAATCCCTCATAAAAACTCAATAACTGGAACGTTTCCCTGATTTTGAATTACGTTTTGGATTCTGTCCTCTCGTTGTTCATTTTTCTTTTTTGAATGTGGACGAGGTACCTACTCCTACTCAATCATTATTTCTGTATTCTTTTGTTCTTTTTTTAATTCTTTTATTAAGTGGTATACTCCTACGTGTGATTCGCCAACAAGACACTCTCAACGTCGATGCCAGGCTTCAATATTATTTTGCGTTCTTGGAATATTCTGACAAAAAACAGACCACAATTCTGGTGAAAATAATGGTAATCCTCGAATAAGGTTGCCATTCCGTAGTGTTTTTTGAACTCGACCAAGAACACAGTTATCCTCAAACCACATTATACAATGTTCCATGCCAGATTCTATTTCTAGTTACATATTCTTTAATTTCAGCAAATGCTGATGGAATTTCTTCTGGTGGTAAAAAAGCAAGAGCAAGCAAATGACGGACTAGCAAACTAAATTCTTCGCCTTCACCATACTTAATAGAAAAACCAACGGACTGAACTTTTCGCCACATACTTTGTCGCAAATGAAAGAGATATAATCGACTTTGACTAGTAGTGAACTCTTGTTTAAATGCACAAATAGCTGCTTGTTCAAAATCAGTTAAAATATAGCCAGGCTATAAAACTATGTACCCAGTGGCGGCGCCAGGGGTGGGCCAGGGTGGGCCCGGGCCCACCTTAAAAAGTCTCCGGCCCCCCCTGTGGCCCACCCCAAAAATTAAATTTAATCATATTAAAATACTAAAAAATATCTCATGAATAAATCATGATTTATTAAAATATGAAAATATTAAGTCATAATAGATGGCGTGAACAACATTTTGAATGGGTTGAAAACTATATGCACTATGCACTATGCTTTCAAGCCTCATAAATAACGTGTATTTTCCAGCGGCTGAATACGAAAATAATAAATTATTATTAAATATTCATTGGTATTGAGTGTAATTATGGGTTAGGGAGCATAAAAATCAAAAAGTGTTTACATGAATATATATTTTGTTAGCAAATAAATACTATTAATAGTTAATACAATACATGTTTACAAATCATTGCTTTAGTAAATTTACACGATGAAGTGTAAAAAAAATTGGAAGTTGACCCTCCCCCTCACCCCTCTGAGAAATTGCCTGTCATCACTATTGTTTATATATATATATATCAAGTCAACAATTTGGCCCTCCCTAAAAAATTTGTGCCCCAGCCTGGCCCGCCTGGTATTAAAGTTCTGGCGCCGCCACTGACTGTACCTAACCTAACCTCAAAGTAAGATTGGTCTTATGCATTTTTGTAAAAAAATCAACTTTATAGTTTAAAGTTAGATGTTTATTAATCATTATTAATTTTATATTAAACTTATATTATATCATACTAATACATAAACTTAATCTTATATTTTAAATATAATAGGTACTAGTCACTAGGTAGGTATATAGCCTCTATACGTGTATCAAGATTTTTAATGAGTTGTGATTGATTAAATTGTCTGATCAAGATTTTAAAAAACTCATTTGAATATGATAACAACTACCTACCTACTCTAAATATTGACAATGACATTTATAATAGTTTTTCTTATTTATTCCTTAAAATTGGATTTATTGCTTGTTTCACTCAATATCAATTATCAATCATATTATTATTTTTGGATAAGTTAAATTTGATGATTCAAAATATGATTATCGATGCTTCATTACCATTTAATTTGGTAAAACAGATTGGTTTTAAAAATTTGATTATAACTGGATATCCTAATCGTCATGTGTTATCAAGGAAGACGTTAATGAAAAATATAGAAGCTCAACATCAAGTCCTTTTACAATATATTAAAAGCATATTTTCCAAAGTTAATTATTTAACTACCACTGCCGACTGTTGGACTATTTTCAAAAGGTTTGTTATTTTAAACAAATTATTATCTAATTCATAGCATCTATAATGTAAATATTCTTTTTTAGATCCTATTTGGGTATGACTTGTCATTGGATTAATCCAGTATCACTAGAGAGAGAGTCTTTCTTATTGGCTATAAGAAAATTAAAGGGCAGCCATTCTTATGATTTGCTAGCAAGAACTAAGGAATCTATTTATACTGAATTTAATATCAATGATAAAGTTATCTATACAACAACTGACAACGATTCTAATTTTGTCAAATGCTTTGAGTAATTATAATATTTATTATTATTTATTTGTATTTTAGAAATTTTTACTATTAAATAGGTATTTTCAACTGAAGGGTTAACATTTTTTTTTTATAAATATATATTTATTTTATTCAGAATGGAAGTGGCTTATATAATATGTTATACTAATAGAATTTCTATCAAAATCCACAATGTTCATATCTAAAAAAATGTCATAATTATAAAATCAAGATTTAATAATTCATAAAGAATATTAATATGAACTCTTAGTATACATTTTTTTTATGTTAATTTTTTTTAAAT